CTTTTTTGGTGTCATAGTTAACATTATACCATGCATCACGCCAAACTCCACGGATTTCGCTGGTGAATTCTACAAAAATAAGATAGATGGAAACCAAAATGAATTAATATGGCAGTTGAAATGCATGATGTTTACAACAAGGGACAAGTTTTTGACACGAAGATATCCCTGACACAAAAATAAAAGTCGCAATTGCAATCGTTCGTTGGTCGGTATTATGAGTATGTATGTATATTCATCTGGATGACTGTTGAAATTTGCAAGACATTCTAAATCTCGTTCCATTATCTTGTGACCAAACGAGGCGGCAATTGTAAAACAAACGTGCGTCAGAGACCTTTCCCTTCCGGTTCCTGTTGAAGAGCGAAAGTTCACAGTCACATGTCAAAGGCCATAGATACCATAGTCGTGTGCACACTTTACTTTAACCTTTTTTAAAATTAACTGCAACCGGCGAAACTTACCACTCGTGCGAATCACAACCTGGCAAAGAACTAGTGTGACATTGCTACCAGTCAACTTAAATGTCACGTAACGTCCGCGCGCTGGTGGTGAACAGCGTACTTTGTAATCCCACGACTTTCCATAGGACACAGACTTGGTACAAGATGGATATAAACTGGTTTCATCAGTGGATACGCTGACGCTAAGAATTCCATTATCTCGTGAACAGCAGTCGAGGTTTTCGGTGATCTCAACAGATTCAACGTAGAGGGGCTTTTCAAGGGTCACCTGCCACCAAGGGTTGGACTCCTATTCAAAAGGAGGCCAAGAGAATAGCAATAAAACAACTCTAAACAGGGAAGCAGACGCGAAATAAAACAACGAAAAATGGATAAATAGTGAGAGGAGCGACAAACCAGTGAAATATTCAAAGAAACAAACAAACAACCATCACAAGGACGGACAGAAGGTTGTTTGTATCACCATCAATCAGAGGTTCATATAATTTCATTTGCTTTGATAAACGAACTAGCGATGTTTATTATATAAGTGATATCTCTCGTATCACATTATCTCTTACCTTTTTGGACCTAAAACATGTGGAAAAGGATCCGTCAATAGCGAGAAAAGGGCCATTTGGTATCAGAACACTCGAGCTTCTGAGAAAATTTGGACGCGATAAGGAATTTTCTGAGAGAGAGAAAAAAAATGGTCAATTCAAGAATCAATGAAGAAGTTACTGCTTTTCTTTGTTGATACCAGTTAATTATAAAAAAAAACTAATATTTAAAGAGTGAGAATCTTAATTGAAGTCTTAGACTGTATCATAGATCGGTTTAGATGAGGTTTGTTACGTTTTGATATAAAAGTTCTGTTGAAAAACCAATATGATAACAGCCCGATTGGCTACTATATGCCAAACTATCACACAGGAAGTATAGACTATGGGACATACCAGCACGTTTGGAGCACAGAGCATTCTTATACGTTTTGCAATCTTCATTCTTAATTCTTGAAGAAATAGCTGAGAGAACTGCACAACTATGGTCTCCATGCTGACCAGAAGGATATCCATGCGTCCAAAGGGAGGCGTTCAACGGGTTGCCATCGATCCAAACCCAGTCGTCTCGCGCCAAGAAACCAATATGCAAGTTGTTCGGCTTTGGCCTCATTCCTTCCAGCTTGTTAGATAAGGCAGATCGTAAGCCTTCCCGTGATACTTTGGCTAATGTGCCACCTTTTCGAATGCATTCTGTTTGAGCGTAATCCCATGGAAGTGCGCTATGGGTGTGAATAGAGAAACAACCACCATGGAAATGGAAGAAATCTGGACCGCATTCGAATTGTGCTGTAACAAAAAGTTTAAGAAAAGATTTTTAATGAGACCTTCGATATATTTGCATATACCAAGGCTTTCTAGAGTCCTCTGGTATATGTAATCCTTCTGTCGGCAAAAGGTTTCTTCAAAGACCTGAATCAGTACTTTGGAAGGTTTTTCAGCAGTTTTTCCCCTTTTTTTGGCTCTTAAGGATGTACATGCGTACGAGGCATATGGATATATTCAGCAGAAATACGAGGGATTTTTGGAATTTCAAGCAATAGAAACGTTTTAAATATCATTGCTCAAGGATTTGTGAGTAGAAGTATTGAGCAACTCACCAGTTTGATTGCACCTTGACTTGACTTTGATTATTTGGTCCACAGATAATGCCTGATCGTAAACCTGTAAACAGGAGATCCTGCCACGAAAGAACCTATTCCATCTGGTCGAACCTCCCATCAGCACTTCTGAAGCAGTACCTAGTTCCATTTTTACTTTGAGAACTCTTTGGGTGACTACGCTATTATTGACAAAAATAGTTGCAATCCCTGTGTGGTAATCATATGTTGTTCCAATAAAGTTCCATTCGTCTGAGTTTAAAATATTTTTCTCGTGGAGAAAATATGCCTTTAAAGTTTTCCTATCCATGTATGTCACTTGAACACCAAGTGATTGATGAACCACCATCAGCGAGCAAGTGAAAAATCTATAAACTGTTTCATATTTGTAAATGAACCCAGTGGAGTTTTGGAGGTACACCCAAGCAAAAATGCTAGTAGAGAACCTTGTGTCAAGTTGTCTGTTATTTTCAAGGTGCACGAAACTGTCGTTCATACCACTGAAGAAGAAGGAGCCATTTGGGTTTCCAAAAGGACCAGGTGCAAACGTGATGTCATTAGACTTAGCTTTAGTGGCTCCATTTGGACTCAAGTCCACCGTTCCATTTGCACCCCTCAGAGTAAACAAAACCACTGGCATTGGAACATCTAAAACACATAAAAAACCACTATCGAACTTTTTCCTCGTGATTATTAAAGGATAACGGTATTCATTACGTATAGCATGATCGAGGAAACATTTTTGAAACAGAGAAATTATGCAAAATATGCTCTACCCTAAAAATCATTCTGTCTACATGTACGTATATCTTGCTCATCTCTAATTCAAAGGCAGATATCTGAACAACTTGTGCAACCTGAGGCTCTTGAGTATTATCTTAGAATGGAAGGAATACCATACTCGAAATCAATGCGAACAGAACTCAAAATCTGTATTAAACTACAATTAAACAATGAACTTTTCGAGGTGTTTCTCCGGAATTAACAAAAATCATTACGGTAACCGTAACCATGAAGAAGTTTTTATCTGGGCAATTGAAAGACTTTTTATCAGATCGATTTTAAAATTTAAAACGTATCGTTGAACATCATACCAAGTGGTTGTTCACAGATGTACCCTTTCAAACTATTGCATGATTGATCGTTCCAGCGCCATCCATAACCAACCCAGTTTGAAGACCATCTTATCGCATTCAAGAAAGACCCACATTTTCCATCTCCACTCGGTTCTCTTGGGCCCCATAGATTATTCGTTTTAGAAACCGTCTGTCCATCTATCCAGACCCAGTTTAATTGACCGGTCAATCCAAGATAAATTCCACCCTGGATGTCAAATTTTAGTTCTCTGCTTCGATGGGCCGCAGCGTTCATCGTGAACTCGTCATTGACGACGGCAAGATCGGCGTTGGATCGGTGGCAAAACCTCCGTGCGTCACTCCACTTAAAGGTTGATCTCAAATAGAACAGAAAGCACGAAGGACCGGCTCTGTACCAGCCGGGTTCGCATCCAGAGGTTAGATTATCGCCTGAAAAATAAGACTAGAGTTTCATTACTACGGAACAGGCCGAGACACATCAATTATTAGATATTGGTTTCTTATTGATGTAACCGTCACTCATCTAAATGGTTCCTTTCCCTTATCTTTTCTAAAAGACGACTTCATGGATGAGCTTTACAACCACTAGCATGGTGATCGAGGAGAAACAATCGCTTTGCGAGTGTTGTCTTCTTTTATACTCTCACCTGGTTCAGAAACGTTAAGAGCATCAAAAGAGAATACTGTTTTTCTCCCACAGCAACTGTCATTCCGGTGACTATGAAGACTTATCATCTGACCATACCGACCTCTATCAATCAAATAAATCTTTCGAGCATTTTTCTCTGCGTCACTGCTGAGGACAACAACATCTAGTGGAAAGCTTGTGTAATTAACAACATCCAACTCTGGTGTGACGAAACTTTTTTCCTTCAGCACTGCAGGGTAGATAAAATATGGTTTCTCTTCCAGATTTCCCCGTGGTTTTTCAAGAGTGAATCGAAATTCCTCGGAGTAAAGGCTGTGGTCGGAGGGCTGCAAACCTATTCGAAAGGTCCGGCCCTTGTACGAAGAAACGTAGAAGGTTTTTGTTTCTAGAAATGAGATAGGTAAGATGAGAAAATATGATGCAAGATTATGTAAAAAGTGGAGAACAAGTTTAATTTCAAAGATAATTAAGATATAGAGGGAAGGGAAAACTAAAGGATTCAGATATTTTGATATTTCGAAGATGTACACCTCGTCGAAGATAAAGAAAGTCGGCCTTAGAGAGCTTAAGTGACCAGAAACAGAAAAGTATTTTAACCAATCGATTTAACCAGAAACAGAAGATTACTTTAAAAAAGAGGACAATGATAAGTCTTTAAAGAGGGCTAGTAATTTCCTTGTAGCCACTTAAGATACATTCCCTTAACCATGTAAAAAGTACAAAATCGAAACTGAAATGGCGAGCCAAATGCATCGTTTAAATGGGAGAGAGATGTACCTTTTTGGAAACAAGCTCCCCTTTGGAAGGTGAGGTCATCAAGTGCTGCATCTCCAAAATAACTTCTGCCTCTGATACCATCTATGACTACCTGCAGAGGATCGGGACAACGAGGTAAAATCGTGGTTGGCTGCCAGCACCTCAGTAAACTATCAGTCTTACAGGGTATGTCATCGATGGAGACAATCATGGTAGACAAATGTTTTACCATGGTTGATAAAGAAATATTTAACAAGTCGGACTGAGCGGAAGACTGAGATCAATATCGACAATCAAAATTCTATGTATTCCTTAAACGTTTGCAGCAAATGAAAAGCAAAAATGTTGGGAATTGTTCACGATCTTTAGTGAGTTAATTGCGTGGTTGTAAAATTATAAAAAAAGAAACGTTTTTAACTTCCCATAAACCTACTTTATACTGTCCTGTCTCGTTGAGACTAATTTGCTCGCGTATCCATTGATCTCCTCGATCCTCAGACTGAAGCCAAACCGGTTTAATCCTGGTTTCGTTATGGTTCTGTACGTAGATAACAACACAGCTCATGGTGGAACCAAACATGTGATAGTAAAATGTCATACATTGTGGTCCCTGCATCCACGGACTTTTAAGCCTTGCTGTGTCTCCGCGGCGTCTAGGTGCCGAGGCCTCGATATAAATGAACTTCCCAAATCCTGTGTTTGGAAATAAGATGATGAATAAGCATCCGATTAAGTTCCTTATTTCTTTTTTTAGTTAAACCTTCGCATTTCAAAATCGAAACAACGATATCACGCGAAAGGGAAGCAGTGTTTGTAGAACATGATAATGAAATAGAGCTAATAGAAATGATTAAAATGATAAAGTTTCATAAGCACAAATTCCCTGTTTGTTCCTTGTCGTTCAAACCCTTATTTTCTTCGTCAGGAAACCTTCTACAATGTTCTCTTCAAGTTGGAACCTTTTCAAATGTCATTATATATCATTTATGCTCTCCTTCACGCTCAGAATCTGTTTTCATTGCCTTTGACTTTTTCCAATTTTTATAACAAAACATGCTTTTTTCAAAAGATGATTTAAGGGTTTTCTAGCAGCCTCAGGATGACAGCGTTGGTGAACTTTAGTTTTGTTCGAAGCGCGCTGATGGGAGTTGGTTTAAATAGCAAAACAGCATAACTTTTGAAATTTAGCTGGTTTTTTTTTCGCCTTTGATTTGACAGATTTAGACTTAATGTCGTCTTAAACTAGGTTCTCCTGTATAGCGAAAATAAAAATCAGAATTAAATTAGACTTGAAAACATCTATTTTTTTTTATCTCTTTCCAAACATTACCCGATGTATGATCAGCTCTTGGCCCTGTTTGAACGCTTGGAGTGGACCTTCCAATTGACCATTGAAAATTTGCCTTTACATCGGGCTTCCAAAAGCAAAAATGGGAATCAAAGTTGCAATTTCCTAAAAGAGAAAGATGAGAACTGTTGGTGATTATCTTTTTGTAAAGTTTTGCATCAGACATTTTGTGACGGTAAACTAAACTGAAAAATGGAGAAGAACATTAAAAACGAGAACAAAACAAAACGAAACCGAACAACAAACAAAAGGAATAGAAATAGGAATAAAAAACCATATCCGCCTTAATTCATTTTTTTGACGTCAGTTAGACCTCAAATTATAAACAAAGATACACAAGAAGGTGAAATGGAGAGCAATAGCTTTCATGGAAAAATTATGCAAAAATGAATATAAATGTTCAAAGCTATCACTAAAATTCACTCACTAAAGGAAATGGGCTATTTAGGGCTGCAAGTTAGCGTGAAACAAATTGTCCAGCAGATAAGTACCTAATTGATCACTTGAGTTTTCGGTTTGATTTATACACAATCCATCCGTCAATACCACATCATCGACAGCAATATCCCCTTGGTAACTCTGGCCAACGACTCCTTTTAGTGTTACCTGCAAAAATGTTGTCATAGATATTTCTCATTCATTCTCAACAATTTTAGTCTCGTAAACTATTGTGATTTATGCGTATTGGCTCTACATTTTCTTCGATGTTACTATTATTTCAAATTGGCTGGACACTTGTTTTTGCGAGGACGCCCGTAAACAACGAATGAGGACAATTTCTGCGCCTCTATAGCCCATAACAATCTCGAAAAATTGAAAGAAACATGTAAACGTTGGCACGACATATATATATATATATATATATTTTTATTTCGAACAAAGTTGTTCAGTTTGCCCATCTATTTCCCTTTCGACCATTCGTTATTTTCTTCTAACTCGTTTCCAATTCGAAGTTTTGGCTAAGATATCTAACTTAACTTCCTGACTAGACTGTCACGAATAAACTCGGCCCAAATTATGGGAAAAATTTGGTTGACCTCAGCCGGATTCTGTTCTTGCTTTTTCTTCTTAGTTTCTGTGGATGGGTATCTTAGACTTACCAAGATCATCAAGTGCTGTGAAGGGAAGAGGAGGCTGGGGAGTGTAAGGCGGCAGAGGAAAGAGTTTCTGTCATCAGACTCCTTCCGCCAGTGCAGGTTACCCTATTGAAGACATAGGACAAATCCTACCTGAAACTCGCCCATATGAGGTATATCGACTACGGCCTTTCTCCACTGATTGCCTTGGTTTCCTGTTTTTTGCCAAATCAAGTGATTGTGCTGTTGTCCTGCAACTCTCATTAATATATCAAGTCTTTCTATATGTAATCCATACATGTGATAAAAGAAGTGTAAACATTTTGGACCCGAGATGAAAGGACTCAGCAGCTCTGCGAACTGATTTTGTTTCGCTGGATGTGACGCTTCGATGTGGATGTATCTTCCACCTCCTGTAAAGATATGAGCGAATAGTTACATGCACTGATAAGCAGCTGCAAAAAGAAAATTAAGGGCATTATTGTAGTTAATTTACAACGGCAACACTTGCCTTAGCTTTAAGCTTAAAGTGGAGAAAAGTCACTATAAAGCGGCAAGCAGAGGGACAGATCACATTCTGCCATTCAAAGCGAACCTAGTAGCAATAAATGTAGTAATCATTTTCTCGACAGGTAAATGTAGATAATTTGAAAAGAAAGTCAGCAGGGTCAACTCTGGAGATTTTTATTCGGGAGAAATTCTTATGAAATGTTTAGTTCCAAAGAATAATCATTAGTCAGAATAGCGGGGATAGGTTAGAGCGGAAGAAAAGGTGTTTGTGAGCCATAGGCAGCTTTTTGACCATCATTGCATTCCTTTGCCATTCATGGCAAGAAATCGTATACGATCAAGTACCTGTGTGGTCTTCGGTCGGTCCAGTCCCTGTGCTTGGTGTTCTACCTCTTCTTGGTATCCAATCCATTTGGTCTGCGTGTAAATTACGCCATCCGCAGTAACCCTCATCAAAGGTACAGTTTGCTAGAATTTCAAAAGGTTAAGAAGAACGGAAACATCAGCCAAACTGTAAAATGGAACATTATTTGCATGGCCAGAAATTAAGAACAGGTACATCTCGCCGGGTGACTTACACCAATAACGCACATAGATTTGTTAAAAACGCTTCGCTTACTGAACTAAAGAGAAAAGAAAATCAAGGTATAAGAATTTACCTGACACTTATCTTCCAAACGTACCTTCAAATGCCCCAACTGGCGTGATATTCTCAGGAGAGACGCACGTTAGATTCGTGCTAAAATTAATATCATCAATTGCGATATCAGCAGTGTAACTTACGCCTGCCATACCTTCAATTATGACCTGAATTGAAATGGTATAAGAATTGTCAGAGTAACAATTTAAAAGGGTGGTTGGCTAATTTATATGGTGAGTTAGGAGGACAAGGAAATAAGTGAAGACTTTTCGGGAGTTGGAAGTAAAGTTGCTTGATGCTTATTCGAATGATTTGTTAGGAAGTGGTATAAATAAAAATTGAGACTTATGGGTGGCTATGAATAGAATGGTCAAGTAACATGTAAAAGCACTCCAAAAATAAATCATCTTTCATCTTTCAGGAGATTTAATTTTCCCTACTACATGGTATAATGGACTGAATGAGATTTGCCTCGCTACCTGGTAACTTCCGCTGTAGTTCAAGGTCGTGCAGCCTTCAGTCCAGCTGCTGGATAATTTGCCTCCATGACGGCTCCATACCCTTAATTCTTTTCCCATCTGATCTTTAACATATACAGACAGACTCTCAATGGCTCTGCCGTACATGGAGTAGAAAAACGTTAAACGTTGGCTGCCTCTCATCCAAGGACTATATAACTTGGCTCTCTCGTGATATCTACGTGGAAGTGAGGTTTCTATGTAAATGTACGAGCCATTTCCTGAAAACACAAATTTAGTTTGACCGTTAACTTTACAAATAGGCTTCCGAAATCAAGCCGTTATTCAGCGTCATCTCTGAAAGAATGGTCTGGTCACAAATTTGAATGGCTCCAGGTCGTACTACGACAAAATCATATTTGTTTTATAATATTGAAAAAAAAATAGTTATGACAGCGCGTACACCCGATTTTTCGAAGTTGTCATGTTTCAGTGATAGGAGGGTACTAATGCCTTGTATCTAAACGATCTCATCAAAATTTTGACCATTTAATTTGGGCTTTATTCCACACCATAATTTAGTTCTTGTTACCTTGGGCGTATTAAAATTGATGTGGAGGTTGTTACAATTATCTACCTGAGTGGTCGTTGCTTGGTCCTGTGTTAAGACTAGGAGTAGCTCCTTGTCGGAGTAGCCAATCAAAATGATCCTTGCCTTTTTCATTTCGCCAGTTACAGAG